GGTGCTAAGTAATGCAGAAGCACTGCATGGAATAGCAGACAAGTAATAAATTCAGTTTTGTACTTGAACATGTTTTGGTTTAGTATTCGAAGATAACCTTTGTTTTCTGATTTAGCTTGAAAGAAAATGACCATGAACTTGAGTGACTTGATATATGTACTTTAGATTTTGGGGTTTAGTTTTTATGTATTAATATGAGAAAAACACCTTGTAGAGTTGTAGTCTTGAGGCTCATTTCAAATCTCCGTGACATTGAGATCTGCATATGACTCTCTGCTGCCCTTTGGTGGCAAAAAGATGTACTAACATTAAGAAAATAGGAGAAAGAAATGAAAGCATTCTCTTTGTCTTTTTCTGCAAACATCTTAATGGCATACTCGTGACAGTTAAAACTTCCCAGAAGCTAATGTGGCCATGTTGGTGTGATGAGTGAACATCTAAGAAAGTTTTATAGCATCTCAAGATGGAATCTCAGGTTCATAATTTGTTCCATTTTTATAGGTTAGCACGGAGTAAGGAAACCTTCTGTTGATTTTCACTCTACCGCTAGATTTTTTTTTATTAGCATGTATCTTAATTTCTAGTTTTTAAAAATTAAATGGCTGTAATATTATTTTCTAACCTTGCTTTAATACAGTTGTATCCACTTATTGAATTCAAATAAATAGCTAGTTAATTAGCCAATCCTTACCTCTTTTTATAGAACACGTACTTTCTTTCAACAAAAGACAGTCCATTTTGGTGGAACTCTTCTGGAGTTATTGAATGTGTTTTTCAATACAGGCGGTTAATTCCCTGTTTGTTTTCGTTCATAAAGCACATGATGATTTTTATTTGCTATTAAGCAAAATATGACTTATTTTTTATTTTCTTTTGAAGGCTAGTGCTTTAATTGGAAGAAAATTTGTGATTTTTTAACTTTGTAAAATGCTTTTCCAGATAAACTCCGTAGAAGTATGCCTAATCTAGCCCGAATGCCAAGTACAACCGCTGTTAGTAGCAATGTTAGTTCTCCAGTCACCGTGCGAAATAGTCAGAGTTTTGACTCAAGCTTGCATGGAGCTGGAAATGGAATTTCAAGAATACAATCTTGTAGTAAGTACAACTTTTAATTTTTTGTAATTTTTAATTAGTTGCAACACCATTAAAAAATATTTTACTATTCCATTTCTTCTTTTTACTTGCAAGAACACTAAACTTTTCATCCTGTTCTGTAACTTTTTTGTATTTTACCATTAAAATTGGGTAGTATTTTCACCAGTGCCAATGGTAAGAGTGGATAATAATAATAAATTATATGTAATCCTTTATATTCAAGGATAGCATTAGAAGGACTAAATGGTGATTAATTTATCCACTCATCGTACAAAAATAATCCGTTTTTTCTTTGCAGAGTCTTCTCTTTCTAGCTATTTCAAACATAGGCTTATCTTGATACTTTTACTCTGAAAAAGTAAAGTATGCTTATTTTAACGAGCTGTTACTTTGGTCCTGGTTTTCACCAGTCCGTAGCATTTTTTTTCCCCAAATGAAGTTGTATTTTAGTGTGTTCTTAAAGTAGTTTTTACTTACTCCATTTCAGCCTACCATACAATCCATCATTCATTTTCTGTATGTTCTACTCAGTAATGAGCAGTGGTAAACATGATGTTCATGTGTTTTCACTTTGGGGGTGGGGATGTGGTCCTTACAGCTTTTTTCCCTTTTTTCTACTTATACTGTTTGTATAGGTTAAGATTAAGCCTTGGACTGACCACTGGAAGCCAAATTTCCATACTAAAATTTTCATGGTTGGAAAGGATCTTAGCAATGTTTTGTCAGCCAGTAGAAGTTTACTCTCACAAAGCTAAATGGGAACAAACAATGACAGAATCTTACATAAACCTTTTTTTTTTTTTTTGACCTTTTTGAATACTATACACATATATCAGCATTCCTATGTATGGAGTTCACTTATGTGTGCTGCTGCTGCTGTGTGCTGTCAAGTGGATTCCGACTCATAGTGACCCTATAGGACGGAGTAGAACTGCCCCGTAGGGTTTCCAAGGCTGTAATCTTTACAGAAGCAGACTGCTACATCTTCTCCTGCGGAGCTGCTGGTGGTTTCGAACTGCAGCCCTTTTGGTTATCAGCCCTTTCGGTTAGCAGCCAGGTGCTTTAACCACTGCACCACCAGGACTTCTTCACTTACGTGTACTTGAGTAACACTAATTTTCTGAGGAAATATCTTCAAGAGATGTTAAAGTAATAAAAGCATAGACACATTTTTTGTATATATTTCTCCCCTCCTATTTTTATTTCAAAAGATATATTTATTATATATTTGATTAAGTTCAAAATCAGTTATATTGATTTAAGAAGTAGGATTTGTTCACTTTTAACTGAATTTCAAGTATTAGACAGCAAAACCACCACTCGTCTGTCAGTTTATTGTACTGTGGTGGCTTGCGTGTTGCTGTGATACTGCAAGCTATGCCACTGGTATTTTAAATACTGGCATGGTCACCCGTGGTGGGCAGGTTTCAGCAGAGCTTCCAGACTAAGACTAGGAAGAAGGAACTGCTGGTCTACAAAATTGGCCAGTGAAAACCTTGTGAATAGCAGCGGAACATTATCTGATATAGAGCCGGAAAAATGTGAGGATGGCGCAGGACCGGGCAGTTTTTCCTTCGGTTGTACATAGGGTCGCTATGAGTCAGAACCGACTTGACGGCACCTAACAACAATAATAACAGCGACAAGGCAGCACAGGCTTGGATAGCTGGTAAACAACAGTGCATATTTCTGCTAAATGTGTGATTAAGTTTTTTCCTTGGGGAAGGGATTATAACATTTAAAATTATCTGCATAGTAGTGCATTGTTTTAATTTCAGATTTTAATTTGAAATAATATAAAATATTGGGCCAGTATATTAATGAAGGTTTTTAGGGTTCATACCTAGAGAGCAGAGCCCTGGTGGTGCAGTGGTTAAGAGCTCAGCTGCTAACCAAAAGGTCAACAGTTCAGATCACCAGCTGCTCCTTAGAAACCCTATGGGGTAATTTTACTCTGTCCTGTGGGGTCACTATGAATTGACTTGATGGCAGCTGGTTTGGTTTTTTGGTTTTACCTAGAATGCTCTTCATTTTACAGATTTTGCTGTTGTTATAGAGGTAATAATAAGTAACGCTGGTTGAGTGGTTACTCAGGGCCAGGTACTGTTCCTGAGTGCTTTGTTTGGATTAACTAATTTAATCTTCCCAGCAAACCCTGGGAAGCAGATAAACATCATAGGAATATTATTTAAGAAAAATGGAGTTCCTGAGTGGCACAAATGGTTAAGTGCTGGACTACTAAAGATTAGCAGTTCAGACCCACCTGGAGGTGCCTCAGAAGATAGGCCTGGTGATCTGCTTCTGAAAAGTCACAGCCTTGAAAACTCTATGGAGCAGTTCTGCTCTGTACACATGGGGTCACCATGAGTCAGAATTTACTCACTGGCAGCGAATAGCAACCCAGAGATGTCACCCCTCTTTGTCTTCCTTTCTATAATTACAGCTATTAAAATTTTTCCTCATTTTATTTTTGTAAAACAATCCCCAAAGCAACAGTTGAGAAATCCTAATTTCTTCTAAGCCAGCAAGGAAGAATTTGCCTTGTAAGAGCTCAGAGATGATCAAATTTGCTAAAGGAAAGGAGGCACTAATTAGAACTGGTTTCTAAATATAGTTACCTATTGCCGTCAAGCTGATTCTGACTTATAGCTACCCTGTAGGACAGAGTGGAGCCCTGGTGGCACAGTTGTTAAGAGCTTAGCTGCCAACCAAAATATTGGCAGTTCAAATCCACCAGCCGCTCCTTGGAAACTCTATGGGGCAGTTCTGCTCTGGCCCATAGGGTTGCTGTAAATCAGAATTGATTTGCCGGCAACAGGTTTGGTTTTTTTGGTTTATAAGACAGAGTGGAGCTCTGGTGGTGCAGTGGTTAATTAAGCATTTGGCGGCTAGCCAAAAGGTCGGCAGTTTGAATCCACCAGCTGCTCCTTGGAAACCCTAGGGGCGGTTCTACTCTGTCTTACAGGGTTGCTGTGAGTCGGAATCAACTAGATGACAGTGGGTTTGGTTTTGGTTTTGGGTTATAGGACAGAGTAGAACTGCCCCATAGGATTTCCAAGGCTGTAATCTTTATGGAAGCAGACTACCACATCTTCCTCCTTGGAGCTGCTGCTGGGTTCGAATTACAACCTTCCGGTTAGTAGCTGAGCACTTAACCACTGTGCCACCAAGGCTCCTTTCTAAATATAGTTAAAACAAAGGCAAAAAAACCCAAACCCATTGCCATAGAGTCAATTCCAACTCATAGCAACCCTGTAGGACCGAGTAGAACTGCCCCATAGGGTTTCCAAGGAGCAGCTGGTGGATTAGAACTGACAACCTTTTGTTTAGCAGCTGAGTTCTTAACCGCTGCGCCTCCAGGGCTCCCTAAATATAGTTAGACACTCAAACATGTTGCTTGGTTGGCAGAATAGGAGACTCTCTTGTCTAGGATGAGAATTTTCCAGTACCAGATGCTGTGTGGAAGCTGTCTTTCATCTGTTTCCTTCTGTGTATATTATGGAGGATGGTGGTGGTTCGGTAGTAGAATTCTCTTCTTCCATGTGGGAGACCCAGGTTTGATTCCCGGCCAGTGCTCCTCATCCTCAGCTACCACCCATCTGTCAGTGGAAGCTTGCCTGTTGCTCTGATGCTGAACAGGTTTTAGCAGTGCTTTCAGACTAAGATGGACTAGGAAGAAAGACCTGGTGATTTGCTTCTGAAAATCAGTCAGTGAAAACCCTAGGTATCACAACTGTCTGATCCCGTTGTGCATGAGGTCACCAGGAGTCGGGCTGACTCGAAGGCAGATAACAGTAACGTGTATTATACTCTCAGATAATATAGGCTTTTCTGAATATAAAACAGTTACTAAGTTGGATGGTAGTAGAAGTGTTCCCTCACGTGCATATTGTTTTCTCCCCTAGTTCCATCACCAGGACAGCTTCAACACAGAGTCCACAGTGTGGGACATTTCCCAGTGTCTGTCCGACAGCCTCTTAAAGCCACAGCCTATGTGAGTCCAACTGTTCAAGGCAGCAGCAACATGCCTTTGTCCAATGGCTTACAGTTGTACTCCAACACAGGAATCCCCACACCAAACAAACCTGCAGCTTCCGGGATCATGGGCCGCAGTGCACTTCCAAGACCTTCATTGGCAATAAATGGGAGTAACCTGCCTCGAAGCAAAATTGCACAGCCTGTTAGAAGGTAAGAGTCTCTGGTTGGTTGTTTGCTTACATAACTTCATTTGTAGTTTTACGTTAGAAACTGGACTTCCTTTGGCTCAGTTTAACCTTAGTCGTTCACTCTACTCTTTATGTCTGACCTATGTTCTCATTTGGAAAGTGATGGGGCCAGGGTCCTTACGTGGGCGAGTCCCCTTCTTTCTGATCTCCTCATCTTCCCTTACTCCTTCATCATTTCACGCCCGCTGCGCTGTTTGCCTTTGCTTCAATTTGACAGGTAAGCCCCACCCCCAGGGCTTATATGCTCTTCTGCCCACAAGTTATTGACATGGCTTGTTCCCATCCTCTTTCAGGTGTTTGCTTAGATGCCGCAACTTCTGTGAGATTTGCATCTCCTCTTTATTTCCCTTCCCTTGTTTCATCCACCTCCCTCCCCCCGCATTTATCACCATTTGGCAGATGATACATCCTACTTATTTATTTTATTAATTTATTAATAATCTTATTATTGTTTATTGTCTGACTCTCCCGACTAGAATGTAAGCTCCACAAGCATGGACTAAAATTTTTTTGCTCACTGATGGATCCCCAGTGCCAAGAACAGTGTCTAGCACAGGGTGGTGGTGTTAGATGCCGTCTAGTTGATTCCAGCTCATAGTGTGACTCCAGGTGAAGGAACAGAACTGCCCCACAGTATTTTCTGGGCTGTAATTTTTACAGGAGCAGATTGCTATGTCTTTCTCCTGCAAAGCCTCTGAGTGGCGTCGAACCGCCAACCTTTTGGATAGCATTCGAGCTCTTCAACATTGCACTGCCCAGGCTCTTTGGGTCTCAAATATTTGTTGAATTAGTAATTTTTGATCAGTGTGGAAAAATGTGTTAGACATGTGTGCATGCACACATATCCTCCTCCCACACTCATGGCTTAAATAGCATCTTAGTGATATTTATCTGGGGCTTTACCAGCTTCTGTTGGTAAATTAAGTATAGCTCAGGTAAAAAAAAATTTTTTTTCTGTATCTTCAGAATTCCAGATTACTACATTTTAGAGCAGCTTACAGTCATGATGTACACTTCTTGGACTGGACGTCCTTCGACATCCTTGAGTGTGTTATAGTAAAAAAAAAAAAAAATCCATAAAAGTGGATTGGGGAGAGATTGGAAGATGAGAAAATGGAGACAGTAACTACAGAGAACTCTTACAGGAAATTTGACTATGAAGGAGGAGGCGGGGGAGCATAGTAAAAGCTTGGAAGGGATGTGGATGCACGTTTTGTTTCTCCTTTTGTGTAGCTGTGTGTAGAATTTTTGCTTTTTATCTTCTGATTAGGTGCTTATATTAAAAAAAAGTCGGAAAATATTGAAAAACACAAAAAAGCAAATACAGGCTGGTCGGCAACCTCATTACCCAGATAGAAATCATTTTAGTACATGTTTGTTCAATAAATTCTGGCTTATTCTCCCTCACTAAATGCAGAGCTATGTTATCATGTTTCTGACTGTATAGAATCCCATTGTTTGATGTACATAAGTTATTGTGGAACATCTTCAAGTACGTTTGTATATAACCCAACAGACAACCCAGCCCGTTGCCATCGAATTGATTCTGACTCAAAGTGACCTGATAGGACAGAGTAGAACTGCCCCATAGGGTTTCCAAGGAGCGCCTGGTGGATTCAAACTGCCGACCTTTTGGTTAGCAGCTGTAGGTCTTAATCACTGTGCCACCAGTGCTCCACATTTGTATGTATGTACCATTATTTCCTTAAGATGAATTCCAGAAGGACAAGTTCTAGATTAAAGAATATGTCCATGTATCTTTGAAAATATGTCTCCAAACTCCATTTTTAGAAAGGTTGTTGCTGTCAGACCATATGAGAAGGTTTATTTTCCCAAACTTAAGCAAACACTAGGTATTATCACTCTTTAATTCTTTGCCAGTATGACAGGCAAATCTTTGACTATTAGAATGTTGAGAAATTCTTCCTGTTATTTTGCTCTATGTATTCAAAGAAGTAGCCATTTACATTTTTAGGTCACTTTTCTATAGGGGAGTTTATTTTTTTTCTTTCTGACATTAAAATATCCTTTATACATTGAAGATACTGATCATTTGTCATTTATGTTGTAAATTCACTGTGTACTTACAAGATGCAAGGCCCTATGCTGTGAGCTGGGCATAGTACTCATGAGCGTGTTGTTCATGCCTGGACATGTGAAACACAGGGTGCTCGTGGGGAAGTCCCAATAGCTTGTCATTACTGGAGTGAAAGGGCCTGTATGGGAGAGTAGATCAAAGTAAGCGATAGGCTTCATGGGATTATTAATAATCTGTTCCCTTTTTTCACCCCCTTTATAGTTTCCTTCAGCCTCCAAAGCCTCTGTCTTCACTCAGCACTCTGAGGGATGGAAACTGGAGAGATGGTTGCTACTGATGCAGTTTTTACATACCCTTGAAGAACAGGGAGAAAGTAAAAGATGAGGGTTGTGTTACCTAGCTGGCTAGGTAACAGTGGATGTTGGGATATTCTTTCCCTTTTGCATTTTAACATATTTACTGCATTGTTTTTCAATGGACCAATCACCAGAGACTAATTATTGCACTTAAATATTTGCCTGAGATACTGCAACATTTTCAAATCCCTGGTTGCAGTATTGTGATACTTAGATCTAGAAAGTTTTTGTAGAACTGCTATGTACCTGAATACTTTTTGAGAAAATTAAGATGTATCAATAATGCTTTGCCATATGAGTTTTTTAAAGTAACTTGTTCAATTTACTTACGTGTTCTAAACATCTTTTTTCCATTACATGTTCTGTATTTTAATACATCACATATTTACAACTAGGTTCTATAACTTATGTTTTGAAATTTAATTTTTTTTATAGTTTACAGGAGTTTTATTTTTTGCACCTATTTCTTTTTACAAACCTATGTGAACCACTATGGAACAACTTAAAATTTTGTGCCATAAAAATATTTTTGTGGTAAGGTACTATTTTTTTAGCTCTAGGGATATATCAGCAAAAATACATCATACCATTTGAGAGACATAATTTTATGTTGAATGAGCACAAGATATTCTGAAGCATTGAAAGGAGACAGACAGCAGAGTTAAATGGTCTCGTCTTTTTCTGTTTTTCATTGTTAATTTATTGTCATACGTGAGTTTCATATTTTTAATGGCACCACAAGCTCATTGCACTTAAAACTTGCAATGTTTGCTGCTCTACCACAGTTGGTTTTTCAATACTTTATTACAAAGGATGAAACTGTAATGTTTTATTAACATTGCTTCTGGAAATGGATGCATTTTAAAGCAAATAAATCTTTTTGATAAACCTTTTACAAAATCCGTTTGCACTAATGAATGCTTTCTTATGGTATATGACTTAATATTTGTTACTGTGTACACTGCTGTTTTGGAATGTTCAGAAATAAAGACTCTATTTCAACAATATCAGGTCATGCATGAATGTACAATATGAACAGCATAAATACCATATGTATGTTTCACTACAATTTTGAAAATGTTTATTGTTGCTATATTCTTGTACAGAGCATTAATACCTAAGAAGGTAGGCTTATAATATGCATATTTAATATGCATATTTGTGATTACTATTTCTGATTTCTCGAAAACACTTCTAGTAAGAAATTCCAAGTTTTAATTTTACAGTGAGATTTAGGTCCCATTTACAAAGGCCACTAACACATAAATAGCAATAGCCCTGAACACATGCAGGGAAGAACACGCCACTTGAAATTTTCCTATTTATTGGGGTCAATTTTTTAATTCTTGTTTCAACATATGTATATAGCAAAACATTTGCCAATTCAACAATTTTAGCATGTATAATTCAGTGACATTGATTAAGTTCATCATGTTGTATAACCACCACAACTGTCTTTTTCCAAATTATTCCACCACCGTTAACAGAAACTCAGTGCCCCCCTAAGCAGTGACTCTGTGGGGTCAAATTTGAAATATTTTCTCAATATCACTACAACAGAATAGTACTATCAGAATTCTGTATTACATATGGTATATGTTTATAAACGTTTCACCTGTAGGTACTGTGGAAAGTTTAGGCAAAGGATTTTATGTTGCCTTTTTAAATGTAGGGTTCCTAAAAGTCAGAATTGACTCGACGGCAATGAGTAAAAGTAATGAGTTTTAAATGGAGTTCTACCTGAGGTTGAGATTTTTATTTAAAAGAAGTGTGCCTTTGAATATAATTGTACCACTGGATTGCAAATAACTTGCATTTTAAATAAAATGTGGGCTAGAGGAGTAGATATCAAAGGGGAAAGTACTATTTACTGAGCAGTTCTTTAGTGATAAGGATTGTGCTGAAGGTTTTATATACACTTGTCTAATCTAACAGTCACCTTCTGTCATTGCCATCGTTTTAAAGATGAAGACACCGAGTCTCAGAGGGATAAATATTTAGCTAGTAAATAGTGAAGGAGCACTGGTGGTGTAGTGGTTAAGAGCTTGGCTGCTAACCAAAAGGTTGGCATTTCAAATCCACCAGTGGCTCCTTGGAAACCGTATGAGGCAGTTCTACTCTGTCCTATAAGATCACTATGAGTTGGAATTGACTAGACAGCAACAGGTTTGGTTTTTGATTTGGAAATAGTGAAACTGACTTTTCAATCTGAGTTTATCTGAACTCATTTACCCCACTACTGTGCTCTCTTTCTATGAACACAGGTAAAGTTGGTATATTTAAAAAAAAAAATAAGTTAACTGTATTCTACTAAGGACATGAAAGTGCACAATTCATTTTCAATTCTGATATTTCATTTATATTCAAAAAATCTGCTCAGCCCTTGAAGTACATCATTGAAAACAACAAGATCCCAGCATATTGGATTTTACATTCTAAGTAGAGAGAGAGTAAACCATAAACATAATAAGTAAATTACAGTATGCTAGGAGCTTATAAGTATTGTGGGAGAAAAAAAGAGATCATGGTAAGGAGAGAAAATGAGTGTGGGGAAGAGATCACACTATTAAATGGAGGGGGTGGCATCTGAGAACATCTTATTAAGGAGTTGACACTTGAACAAAGACTTGAAGAAGAGGGAGCTAGTCCTGAAGATACTTCTGTCTTTTTCAGTCAGAGTTCCACAGAACACAAAATGGTGGAAGTGACTATTTTCTCAATTCTCCCAAGAATAATACAATAACAATTATTCTAGATGCATAGGAGATAATTTAATACATTAAATACAGTGGATGCCTTAGGGCAGTGGTTCTCAAAGTTTGGTCCCCAACAGCGTCAGTACCTCCTAGGAACTTGTTAGAAATGCATGTTCTCAGGCCCCACCCCAAATCTCTTGAATCAGCCTCCTAGGTGATTTGCAAGTCCCCCATTGAGAAACCAAACTGGTTACCTTTGAGTGGACTCAGTCTCATGGCGATTCCGTGTGTGTCAGAGTAGAACTGTGCTCCTTAGGGATTTCAGTGGCCTATTTTTCAGAAGTAGATCACCAGGTCTTTTTTCCAAGATGCTTCTGGGTGGACTTGAACCTCCAACCTTTTGGTTAGCAGTAGAGTGCATTAACTATTTGCACTGCCCAGACACTCGTATATTGAGAAAGGCTACTGGAAAGGAGGGAAAGCCTGTGCAAATGCTGTAAGGCAGGAGCATACTTGGTGTGTTCGAGGAAGAGCAAGGAGGCCAGTGTGGCTGCAAACAGAGCAAGGAGGAAAGTAGTAAAGATAAGGTCAGAAAGGGGCAAGATCACGTCGGGCATTGGGGGCCACAATAAAGGCTTTGATTTTACTCTGAATTGGGAAGCTCCTTCATGGTTTTGAATGCTTAGTTTTTATTTTATTGTACTTTAGATGAAGGTTTACAGAGCAAAGTATTTTCTCATTAAACATTTAATACACATATTTTGTAACATTGGTTGCCAACCCCACGACATGTCAACCCTCTCCCCTTCTTGACCTTGGGTTCCTCATTACCAGCTTGCCTGTCCCCTCCTCCTTTCTTGACCTTGCCCCCGGGCTGGTGTGCCCATTTAGTCTCGTTTTGTTTTATGGGCCTAATCTTTGGCTGAAGGGTGAACCTCAGGAGTGACTTCATTACTGAGCTGAAAGGGTGTCCGGGGACCATACTCTCGGGGTTTCTCCAGTCTCTGTCAGACCAGTAAGTCTGGTCTTTTTTTGTGTGTGCGAGTTAGAATTTTATTCTACATTTTTCTCCAGCTCTGTCTGGGCCCTCTATTGTGATCCCTGTCAGAACAGTCGGTGGTGGTAGCCAGGCACCATCTTGTGCTGGACTCAGTCTGGTGGAGGCTGTGGTAGTTATGGTCCATTAGTCCTTCGGACTAATCTTTCCCTTCTGTCTTTGGTTTTCGTCGTTATCCCTTGCTTCTGAAGGGGTGAGACCAGTGGAATATCTTAGATGGCCGCCCACAAGCTTTTAAGACCCCAGACGCTACTCAACCAAAGTAGAATGTAGAACATTTTCTTTATAAACAATGTTATGCCAGTTGAGCTAGATGTTCCCCGAGACCATGGTCCCCACAGCCCTCAGCCTAGCAATTGCGTCCCTCAGGGAGTTTGGATGAGTTATGGAGCTTCCATGACCTTGCCTTGGACTCGTTGGTGGTGCTTAGTTTTAAAAGTATCACCCTGACATTTGGTGAGACTAGAATGGAGGACAGGGTAAATGAAGAGAAGATGAATTCGACTGTTTCAATAATTCAGGGCAGAGATGACAGGGAATTGGACCAGGATGGTAACAGTGGGTTTCTATGGGTCAGGTATCTGGACACAGCTTGGCTGGGTCATCTGACTCAAAGTCTCTTACAAGGATGCAGTCATTTCAAGGCTCAACTGGGGAAGAATCTGCTTCAAAGTTCACTCACATGGTTGTTGGCAGGAGGCAGGTTCCTTGTAGGCTATGGACCAGAAGCCGTCTTCTGTGTCTTACCACGTGGCCTTCTCTATACGGCAGCTCACAACACAATGGCTTGCTTCATCAGAGCAAGCCAATGAGAAGCGCTGGAGAGAGAGCCAACAAGACGAAAATTACAGTCTTTTATAACCTGATCTTGGAAGTGACATCCCATCGTTTTGTCATGTTCTATTCATTAAAAGAAAGTCACTCCAGCTGTCTTTCAAGGAGAGAGGATTCACATGAGTGTGAATACAAGGAGGCAGTTTTCACTAGGTACCATTTTAGAAGCTATCTGTAAAACATTGCAGTCACCTTTACATAATGCCAATTTACAAAATGGCTGTACCACTATGTGTTTGCCAGCAGTACATGAGCATTCTTGTTGCTACTCCTCCTTGGTATTGTTAGTCTTTAACTTTTTAATCTGTGGGTGTGTAGTAGTGTTCCATTGTGGTTTTAATTTGCATTTCCTTGGTTACCAATGAGTTGATTGAACACCTTTTTTTTTTTTTTAGTGTTTTAACTTTTAATTGCTTAGATTTTTTTTCATTTGTTTTTATTCAACTTTAGATGCAGGTTTACAGAACAAACTAGCTTCTCATTAAACAGTACATATTTTATGGCATTGGTTAACAACCCCATGACATTTCAGTACTCCTTTCTTGACCTTCAGTTCCCTATTACCAGCTTTCCTGTCCCCTCCTGCCTTCTAGTCCTTGCCCCCAGGCTGGTGTGCCCCTTTAGTCTTGTTTTGTCATATGGGTCTGTCTAATCTTTGGCTAAAAGGTAAACCTCCGGAGCGACTTCATTACTGGGCTAAAAGGGTGTCCAGGGGCTGTACTCTCATGGTTTCTCAGTCTGTCAGGCCAGTGAGTCTGGTCTTTTTTTTGAGTTAGAATTTTGTTCTACATTTTTCCCCCACTCTGTCCAGGACCCTCTACTGTGATCCCTGTCAGAGCAGTCAGTGGTGGTAGCTGGGCACCATCTAGTTGTACTGGACTCAGTCTGGTGGAGGCCATAGTAGTTGTGGTCTAATAGTTGTTTGGATTAATCTTTCTCTTGTGCCTTTACTTTTCTTCATTTTTGCTTGCTCCTGAAGTGGTGAGACCAGTGGAGTAACTTAGATGGTCACTCACAGGCTTTTAAGAACCCAGATGCTATTCACCAAAGTAGAATGTAAAACATTTTCTTTATAAATTATGTTATGCCAATTGAACTAGATGTTCCCTGAGACCATGGTCCCTACAGCCCTGAGCCCAGCAATTCAGTCCCTAAGGGAGTTTGGATTTGTCTGTGGCGCTTCCATGACCTTACCCTGAACAAGCTGTGCTGGTTTCCCGAGTATTGTGTACTGTCTTACCCCTCACCATAGTTACCACTTATCTATAGTCTATTCAGTGTTTTTCCACCCCCATCCCTCCCGTCCCTCGTAACCATCAAAAATAGTTTCTTTTTGTGTGTAAACCTTTTCTTGATTTTTTATAGTAGTGATCTCATACGATATTTGTCCTTTTGTGATTGACTTATTTCACTCAGCGTAATACCCTCCGTATTCATTTGTGAGATGCTTCGCAGAGTCATCATTGTTCTTTGTCGTTGTGTAGTATTCCATTGTGTGTTTGTACCATAGTGTGTTTATCCATTCATCTGTTGATGGGCATCTAGGTTGTTTCCATCTTTTTGCTATTGTGAACAATGCTGCAGTGAACATGGGTATGCATATGTCTATTCATGTGATGGCTCTTATTTCTCTAGAATATATTCCTAGGAGTGGGATTGCTGGATCATGCGGTATTTCTGTTTCTAGCTTTCTAAGGAACCGCCATATTGTTTTCCAAAATGGTTGTACCATTTTGCATTCCCACCAGCAGTGCATAAGAGTTCCAATCTCCCTGCAGCCTCTCCAGCATTTGTTATTTTCTGTTTTTTTGATTTGTGCCAGTAATGCTGGGGTGAGATGGTATCTCGTAGTGGTTTTGATTTGCA